TATGCTCTGTTTTTTTTGCCCAGTCCCTCCCACCCTCCATTGGATTGTTTTAAATTAAAAAACTTTTTTAGATTTATAGAAAAACTAATCAGGTGGTACAGATAGCTTTTATATACCTGCTCCCCATGCCCCCACCACAGTTTCCCATATTTTTAACATTTCACATTAGCATGGTACATTTATTCAAATTAATGAACCAATATTGATACATTAATATTAACCAAAGTCCATAGTTTTCATAAGAGTTTACCCTTTGTGTTGTACAATTCTATGAGTTTTGACAGATGCATAATGTCTTATATTCACCATTACAGTGTCATAAAGAATAGTTTCACCACCCTACAAATCCCCTGTACTTCACCTATACCTCTATTTTGGCAACCACTGATCCTTTTACTCTCTCTATAGTTTTGCTTTTTCCATAATGTCATGTTGTTGGAATCATACAGTAGGTAGCCTTCTCACACTGGTTTCTTTCACTTAGTAATATGCATTTAAGTGTCCATCAAGTCTTCTGGCATATTATCTCATTTCTGTGTACCACTGGATAGTATTTCTTCATATGTACTAGTATATACCACAGTTTGGTTCTCCATTTACCTATTGAGATGAATCTTAATTACTTCTAGTTTTTGGCAATTACAAATAAAGCTTGTATAAACATTGTGTGTAGGCTTTTGTGTGGATGTAAGTTTTCAACTCCTTTGTAATTGGATAAATACCTAGCGTCACAATTCCTAGATCATATGATGAGAATATGGTTAGCTTCCTGAGAAACTGCCAAACTGTCTTTCAAAGTGACTGTCCCATTTTCCACTGCCACCTATAGTGAGTGAGAATTTCTGTTGCTGTGCATTTTTCTCAGCATTTGGTACAGTCATTTTAATAGGTGTGGATTTTAGCCATTCTAATAGGTATGTAATGCTATCTCATTACTGTTTTAATTTTCAACTTTTTTGACATGTGATGTTAAGCATCTTTTCATGTGTTTATTTGTCACCTGTATTTATATTTTTGTCAACATAAGAAGCATTCAAACCTGTGAATAATTTTTGTGAGTTTATTTGAGCCAAACTGTCAACAATTGCTGGGATGTAAAATCCCAGTGGATTGAAATAATGCTCTAGAGAATGGTAATTTTGCACCTTATTTTACACATTATGATCAAAAAAGAAGATGTAAGTGGGAGAAAGCAAAGCAGGGGAACCTCTGGGATTGGATAAAATGTAAAATGATAGACACATATATCTTTTACATGGGTGGGTATAGGATAGTTAATAGTCAACAATTAACAGGATAACAATAATAATGAGTATTTGTAGTCTCTGCTTTGGTGCATTGGTTGTGTCCTGAGGGGTCCAGAAAAAGGGAAGTTACCCTGACATTCCAAAGTATGTCATTGTAGATTAAAAAGACAATAGACAGGCTTAGTTAAGGTAAAGATTGACCTTTGTCAGGGAAGAGTCTAGCCTAGGACATGACTACTGGTCATAAATTGCTTTTAGTTAAAAAGTTTTTATTTCAGACATCCTCCGGGGTTTCTGAGTTTGCACGTCTGCCACACAGGCCTTCCCTGAGCCTGCCAGGTTAGCTTGTGGTCTCTTTTCAGTCCACATTTTGTTGAAGTGCCTATTTAGATTATTTTGCCTATATTTTAAATTTGGGTTTTTTTTTCTTATTGTTGAGTTTTAACAATTATTTGTCTTCTTTGTATGTGTTTTGTAAATATTTTCTTCCAGTCTGTGGCTTACTGGCATCTTTCAGAGAGTAAAAGTTTTTAATGTCAATAAAGTCCAATTTATCAATTTCTATTTTATAGATTGTGCTTCTAAAAACTCACTGCCTTACACAAGGTCACCTATATTTTTTCCTTCTGTAATCTTCTAGAAGTTTTATAGTTTTGTATTTATGTTTAGTTCTGTGCAAGGTCTAAGATCTGTAGTCAAAATTTTGCATATGAATATACAAATGTCCCGTAGTGATGACTCCTTATTTATTTTTGATAGTAGTAATTGTGTATTTTTTCTCATTTTTCTCCCCTTGGTTAGCTTGGTTGTAGGTTTACCAGTTTTATTAATCTTTTCAAGAACCAGCTTTTGGTTTTGCTGATTTTCTCTATTTTATTGTTTCAGTTTTATTGATTTCTGCTCAAATTTTATTTTCTTGTTCTTGTTCTTCTTTCTCTAAGTTTCCTAAGGTAGAGGCTTAGATCATGGATACTAGTTCTCTTTTTTTTACATATGCCTTTAATGCTACAAATTCCCATTATCACTACTTTGCAGCATCCCATAAATTTTGATAATTTGTATTTTCATTTAGTTCAAAATATTTTACAGTTTTATCTTGAGATTTCTTTGACTCAGATGTTATTTAGAATTGTTTAATTTTTAAATATATGGAGATTTTCCTGCTGTCTTTGTTACTGGTTTCTAAGTTTAACTCAATGTGGTTTGAGGAAATATGCTGCATGCTTTCCATTAGATTTATTAAGGAATGTTTTATGGTCCAGGATGTGGTCTATCTTGTGAGCTTGAGAAGAATGGGTATTCCACTATTGTTAGATGAAATATTAGATCCAGTTGGTTGACAGTGCTGTTTGGTTCACTATATCTTTATTGCTTTTCTGCCTGCTCAGTCTGTCAGTTATTGATAGAGTATAATAGTGGATTTGTCTACATTTCCTTGCAATTTAATTAGTTTTGCCTCATGTATTTTGATGCTCTCCTATTAGGCATATATGAATTAAGGATTGTTATGTCTTCTTGGAAAATTGACTTCTTTATCATTGCATAATGCTCTCCTTTATTCCTGAAGTTTTTCTTTTTCTGCTTTGTCTGACATTGATATAGATACTCTAGCTTTCTTTTGGTTACTATTAGCATGGTTCATATTTGTTAGGTCTAATCAAATAATTGAATTGATACCCTCCCTGAGAACTGACCTTTAAGCCACTTCACAATGGACATTCCCCTTTTACTAAGACCACATTACACTTGCTAAGACCAAGTGTATCTCTCCGCTCAGAACCTACCCAGGTTTTGGACCTGCACAGAGAATTCTCTGCCCAGAAAAGCCTGCCTAGAGTCCTTTAAAACCTCTGAGTCCTCATCCCTGGGTGCTGGCGCCATTTGGGGGATCATCCCATTTGCGTTTCCAGATGACCTAATAAATTCATAATTCTTTACCCCTTTTGGTCTCGTGCGTTCCTCCTTAGGAGACCCTAACAATATTTTTCTCCATTTCTTTACTTTTAATCTACCTGTGTCTTTACATTGAAAGTGGATTTCTAGTAGACAGTATCTATTTAAATCTTTCTTTTTATCTATTCTCACAGTCTCTGTCTTTTAATTGGTGTATTTAGAACATCCACATTGGAAGTGATTGTTTATGTAGTTGGGTTAATATTTATCATTTTTGCAATTGAGTTGTATTCATTGCAATTATTACTTGTTTTAAATCACCTTCTCTTTCTCTTCCATCTCTGCTTTTAGTTGAATATTTTATTATTCCATTTATTCTGTGTTAGCATATTGAAACATACCTTTTTAAAAAGTTTTTTTTTCTAGTGCTTTCTACAGTTTGCTACATACATTTACAGTGAATATAGGTGTACTTTGAAATAGCACGATAACATTTTGCAGGTGGTGCAGGTACCTTATAATATTTTCAGTTCCCTTTCCCATCCTTTATAACATTGTCATTCATTTTATTTATTCAGGTGCTATCATCACCGAACACATTTCAGCTATTATTACTTTGAAGTTACCAGATCAACTAAAAATAAGAAAATAAAATATTTTGTTTTATCGTTATTTACCTTTGTTTATTCCCTCTCTAATGCTCTTTTTAAAAAATATATTTTTGAGTGTTTGACCTATATAATTTTCCTTCTCTCATAAAAGTTTCTTTTAACACCTGTTGCAGGTCTATTGGCAGCAAATTCATTGAATTTATGCTTGGTTTGTTTTTATTTCTCCTTCACTTTTGAAATACAGTTTCACTAGATACAGAATTCTAGGGTGGTGTTTTTTTTTGTTTTTATTTAAACACTTTATTTCCCTCCACTCTCTTCTTGCTTGCATGGTTTCTGATAATATGTCTAATGTAATTTTTATCCTTGTCCTCCATAGGTAAGATAGTTCTTTTCCCTCTGGTTCTTTCAAGATTTTCTATTTATCTTTGGTTTTTGTAGTTTGAATATGATATGCCAAGGTATAGATTTTTGTTTTTTGCACATTTATTCTGCTTGGTGTTTTCTTTCTTTTATTTATTTATTTAAATTTTTATTTATTGATTGATTTTAGAGAACAAGAGGAAGGGAGAGGGAAAAAGATATAGATAGATAGACAGATAGATAGATCAGTTTGTTGTTCTGTTATTGGTGGGGAGTACTCCTCTTCCCCACCAGGTGCTAAGGGATGTGGTTTTCTTGTGATATCCTGAGAAAATAATTTTCTGAGACTTGCACAGGATGATGAGATATAGTAGAAAGCTTTATTTCTGTGGAATTAAATCTCTGAGTTTTCAAGGTTCCATTTCCCTATGTCCCAGCATGGAAGAAGTGTAGCTATGACTTCAGAAGGGCTAGAATTCAAGCTGTTACCCAAGTCTCCATGCCGTGTCTGGAGCAGTGTTCAGTCTAGCATTAGGCTAGTGTAGTTTGTGTTCTCCATTGTAGTCCATCAGTCCATTATGTGTGGGGCACACATGGCCATGGGTCAGGTGGCTCTGGAGGGAACTCCGACAAATACAAGAGTCACAAGAGCATCAATAGCCAAGAGACACAAGAGAACCGAGAGTGAACTCTTTTATCTTGGGAATTTGTATTCTCAAAGTTTTGTGGCCTTGTAGTGGCCCCACTCCCTCTGGCCAATCCATGGTTCCCCAGGCTAGATTGACAGGCAAGTACCTTCCCTGCATCATCCCAACTTTACTGTACATCGTCCATTCTCCCCTTTGTCCAGTCCCTTCCCCCAGGAATCTGCAGGGAATGGGTTGGTGGTTCTCTGGAGAGTATAAAATTGCAGCTTTCTGGTGAACTACCTGAAATGGCCATGCTTATAATATCTGGCCTTCCTTTGCACCTTTTCTATTATTAATAACTAGCTAATTACAACGATATCAGTTTCATTCATTTATGCATCCATTGGAAGATTCTTGTATGTGCCCTCACCAGCGATCGAATCCACAACCTTGGCATATTGAGGTGACGCTTTAACCAACAGGCAAGGGTCTGTTTGTTGTTTTCTGAGCTTTCCAAATTTGTTGTTTGGCGTTTTGTTATTAATTTTGGAGAATTTTCAGCCATTATTACTTTGAATATTTCTTCTCCAATATTTCTGTTACATGTATGTTATATCTTTTGTAGTCCTAAAGTTATTGGATATTTTGTTCCTTTTAAATCTTTTATTTTTTTTCTCTTTGCAATACCATTTGGGGGATTTCCATTGACATATTTTCAGTCTTACTGATTCTTTCCTTGGCTGTGTCCAATCTACTGATGAACACATCAAAGGCATTCTTCATTTCTGTTACAGTGTTATCTTCTAGCATTTTCTTTGATTCTTAGAGTTTCCATCTCTCTGTTTATATTACACATCTATTCTTGCATTCTACTTTTTCCTAGAGCTCTTAGCATAATATACTTAAAATTTATTTTAAATTACCTATTTCATCATTCCAAAATCTGGGTCATATGCTTGGTTTATCTATTCAAAATGTGTTTTTCTTGCCTTTTATCATATCTTGTAATTTTTTGATAAAAACTGTATGATTTATTGCTAATAGGTACTTAGGTAATTTGGTTTTTATTGTGACTTTTTATGTTAATTTGGCTAGGAGTTGGGCTGTGTTTACTGTTTGTGGTATCTGTCAATGCCAGAGGCTTCAGTTTCTCTAATGTCTCTCCTCTCCACACCCCCCTGTCTTTTGGTTTCTTTTTCTTAAATTTTTTATTGATTTTAGAGAGAGGAAAAGGGGGAGGGAGCGAGGGACTGAGGAGGGAGGGAGGGAGGCGGGGAGAGAGAGATGATTTTAGAGAGGAAGGGAGAGGGAGAGAGAGAGAGAAAGAGAGAGAAACATCAATGATGGGAGAGAATCATCAATTGGTTGCCTCCTGCTGTTTTAATGTACCCGCGAATCACACAAGGACGCCTCAAGAAGTCGAATTAAGGAGTCACATTTATTTCGAAGTTGGGAAAACGAGGCGGAAATTTGCTCTCCAAATTTCGTAGTGGTTAAATAGCCCCAACCCTAGATTTATATAGGCAAAAATCACAAAGGTATTGATTACATCTCGGGGTTTGGAATGAGGAACCTGGTTTGCAAAAAAAGCAGTTTGTTACAGAAGCTGGTTGAGCCGATTAGTTATCTACAAAGATTAATTATAGTTTCAAGTCTTGGGACCACTGAGTCAACGGAAACACATTATCTGGAGCCATCGAGGCAATTTAGAGTAATTGAGCAGTCCTGGTCTGCAGGTACAGAGGAATGTGTTTTCTAAAACCAGTATGACCACAACCAATGGGGTATTCAAATGACAATCAATAGGGTATTCAATCGAATGGGATAATTTATATAATTCAGAAAATCAAAATAACTTTTCTATTATTTTCGCAAGCAAAGAATGACAGAAGCCAAGTCAGCAGGGTTAAAATATTAAACAGCAGTTCCCACCAAGCATGGTTGCCACCATGCTTCACTGCCTGCCCCTGGCTGGGGATTGAGCCTGCAATCCAAACATGTACCCTGACCAGGAATTGAACCTACACCTCCTGGTTTATGGGGTTGACTCTCAACCACTGAGCCAACTGGCCAGGTTGGTTTCTTGAAGAACTCTTCTAGAGTCTGTCTTGGAGCTATAAGTCATTGTTATTTTACTGGACCCAGGTTGATGGTTGTGAGTTGTTCGGAAGAGGAAGTATTCTATAATCTTATGATTAAATGTCAGTCATTTGGACCTAAGTTTCTGGACTCCGATAGACATCAGAAACAATTTTTAGCCTCTTCCCACCCCACCCCCCACCCCACCCCCTTTTCTCTTAGTTTTGAGAGGATGGTAGAGGATAGTTTTAACAGGAGGTCTTTTTTTAAAAAAAAAACAAACCGAAAAACCTAAAGCAGCTTCATCTGGAGGGCAGGGCTTTGTTATGCTGAAAGCACTTGGCTTATGGACTTAAAAATGGCTATCTGCTCCCTTCCTCTGCCTGAAACACCAGGGGATTGCTCTTCTGTTTTTACTATGTCAAGGTAAGAATGTCCAAATAAACTTATAAAAGTTTATTTGAGCCAAAGCAGGGACTATGCCTGGAGTAAGATATCAGTAGTCCAAAACAGATGCTTCCAAGAAATGATAGTTTGTAGTATTTTTATGCCTTTGGAATTAAGGCTGGACCATAAAGATTACATGAATGTGGGACAGTGCAAGGCAGGGTATCAGAATACAGGATAGTTTTAAGTGCTCTCTTGAGGGTGGTCACACTTTAGACAGAGAGGTCTGAAAAGAGGTATTTCAAAGGTGTGTTTAACCTAGATGCACAGAAACAATGGATTGGGCTTGCTTAAGGCAAAAATTAGCCATAAGTAAAGAAATTATATGCCTGGAGTGTGACCACCTGGATTGAGGAAACTTTGCAACTGGGGAAATATATTTTTAGAAATTATTAAATGTGTTTATAAATGTACAAGCTAAAGAATACTAATTGCTTACTTTTTAGTCTTCACTAGAAGTTAAGGTTTCTTACAGT